GGATGGGAGTTGAATAAAGCAACACGAATTTATCTCAATTAAATAATTAAATAATAATATTTTTTCCACGGTAACAATAATAATAATAGTAATAAAATAACATTAACAAATCCGAAATAAAAAAACCTTAAAAAAAGGGAAGAATAGAAAGAGTAATTGCTGTTGTGTTTGGTGTTATGTTGTGAAACACACAACTTGCACTTCTCATACTTCGCAGAGAGACGAGAGAGAAACAAAGAGAGAGAGAGAGAGAGAACCATCTCTCACTCCATCTTCACTCTCACTCTTCTACTGCCAGACCACGAGAACCTACAATGGACTCGCGCGCACAGTATAATCCTCGTACCGTTGAAGAGGTTTTTAGGGATTTCAAGGGTCGTCGAGCTGGTCTCATCAAAGCTCTCACCACTGGTATATCTCTATCTATCTAACCAACCCAGTTTTTGTTTTTTGTTTTTTGTTCAAATCGAAATGGTTAACTTCGTTTTCTGGTGTAAAGTAATGTGCTTTGCGTGTTGATTTCGAGATTTTCAGGTTTGGTTTTCGATTTTAGTTTGTGGGTCAACTGAATTTTCAAATGGGTTTGGTTTTTTTTCACACATCGTTGTTTTTTTGTTTAAGCGGTAATATTTGAAAGTTTCAAGTGTGCATTTTTTTGAACTTTGCACTGTTTACAATTTAGCTAGCGTTGAAATGGGTTTTGGTTTAAAGTTTGTAAGTTTTTTTTTTTTTAATGTTGCTGTTTGGATGAAACTGATGATTGATGATGATACCTGATGGAATGATGGTTTACTGTTTTTAATTTTGATCTCATTTTGATATGTGTAATGATTCATGGGTTTTGTTTGTTGGATGAAACTGATATGGTTTACTAGTACTGTTTTTTTATTTGAGAATTGGGTTTGCTTTGTAAGGACCAAAAGTGATATTCCAACTTGGAGTATAGAGTTCCTTAACTATAAGAAACTGTCCTTATCGAGTTTTACTGTTGTATATGAGACGATAGTTCTTCTACAAAAACTGGTCATTTTGGTTTTTTGATCAAATGCTACGGTAAAAGTAACTGAGTCAAGTGTCAAAACCTTGAACCAGAACAGATGTTGACCTTAAATAACACATGAAAAACCCGAAAAATTCAATCCAAAATCAACCTCTTCAATAGGGATGACGCAGTAACGAGTGCCACCAGCCACTGAATCAAAGGGTATACGGAGGGAGAGACAAGGGAGATGCCGGGTTTGGCATGGTGGTGCAGTGAGATATTTAGTGTGAGAAAGTGAGATGAGGCACATTGAGAGAGAGGGATATAGAGAGACAATGAGAAAGATGAGAGATTGTGAGGTAATGTATTTTGGGACCGTCTCATTTTTACGCAAGGCAACTCTTGTAATTAATACTAGGCAACTCCTTCTTAATTAATGTGACACAATTGATAAGGAGTGACATGTGTAACCTATTTTGAGTTCTTAAGGGTGAACCATTGGAGTAAGAGTAACGAATGAGCGACTGTGGCATCGCGGACCCCACCTAATGGTGACATAAGAATCCAAAGCAGGTGTAAGATAGGAGATGCTCTGAGGAAGTTGCACTGCATTTATTTTTTACTTTCCCTTTTAGTCCCGGTTGACAAATGTCTCTCAGGACACCTTTTTTTGGACAGAATCCTTTCAGTATACTTAACTTGTGTTTGCCTAGCATTTGATGCGGTGGCTGTGCAATATGTTAACCTGCAATTGATATTTGATGGGTTTCTTGTTATTTCTTTTTCCTTCTGATAATTTTATATTTGTTTTCAATACTTGTATATGACATTTTGTGCTTCGATGTGGCCTTGAGCTTTTTGACTATGTATCTTTTAAATTTATATATATGAATGCTCTGAAATGCCGACCCCACTTAGTGGGATAAGGTTTGGTTGTTGTTGTTGTAAGGCTCTGGAATCTCTTCTTAACTGACAAGTTTTTTTTGTCTGGTTATGCTGTTGCAGATGTTGAAGATTTCTATAACCAATGTGATCCTGGTAAGTTACAATCTCTTTTCATGTGGTAGTTATGTACCACATCATTTGTGTTGTCGATTAATCTTGTAGACTTTTATAGTTTCTGGAGGGCTGAATGCAACAAGGTCTTCCTAAACATTCATAAATAAGTATCGCTCTGTTGATTTATTATGATGTTTGAAGTTTTTGCTTGCATTGAATGTAGGTTTAATTGTCATTTGTTTTTGTGAACACATGGCCATTTTGTATGTGCGCACGCATTGGTGTACGTGTCAGAGTCTATGTTTCATATTTACAAACTATATTAGTTACACAATCTTGTAATTAAGTAACACCTATCGTGGTTCTTGCATCAAGGAACATTATAGTCATGTTCTTATCTTCTCAATGCTCCTAAGAGTAATATTTTCGTTACAAATATAAATATATATTGCAGATTCTTTGCAGATTAAAAAAAAAAGTTGTGGAGAAAGGATTACTTGCCATGTTGTAGGGGTTATAAGGCATTACTTTTATGGTATTATATTTAGTACTTAAACCATTACTTGATTCTTTCAGATAAGGAGAATTTGTGCTTATACGGCTTTCCTAGTGAGCAGTGGGAAGTTAATTTACCTGCTGAAGAAGTTCCACCGGAGCTTCCCGAGCCTGTGCTCGGAATCAACTTTGCTAGGGATGGCATGCAGGAAAAAGATTGGCTTTCTTTAGTTGCTGTTCATAGTGATTCATGGTTACTCGCTATTGCCTACTATTTCGGAGCCAGATTCGGGTTTGACAAATCTGACAGGTATTTCTTATTTTAACCATAAATCTCATCTGCATTTTAGTTGTCATATGTACTCATGACGTATAATGTGATTCAGGAAACGCCTTTTCAATATGATCAATGAACTGCCATCGATATTTGAAGTTGTTACTGGTACAGCAAAGAAGCAAGTTAAGGAGAAGTCTTCAGTTTCAAACCACAGTGGAAGCAAATCCAAGTCCAGCTCAAAAGTGGTAAATAATATTTTTCTACTCTAACCTATGCATGACAGACACATCTTTTTATACATACGTCTGTGATACCGTGACAGTGAAGAACTTGATTGATTTTCAGATTTCTGTTTTTAGTCATTGTTGTCATATTTGTGTTTCTCTTTTATGACCTGGCTAGTTTGTTTTCTCATCTAAATTTTGTCTGGTGAAGCAGCGAGCTCCCGAACACCAGGTTAAGCAGACAAAGGCATTAGAACCAAAAGACGAGGAAGAAGAACTGGACGAGGAAGATGAAGATGAACACGGAGAGACCTTATGTGGTGCATGCGGTGAGCATTATGGAACAGACGAATTCTGGATTTGCTGCGACATCTGTGAGAAGTGGTTCCATGGGAAATGTGTGAAGATCACACCTGCTAGGGCTGAGCATATCAAGCAATACAAGTGTCCATCATGCAGTAACAACAAGAGAGCTCGCCCATAATGAGCACGACCAGGCTTGGATCGTTTTCTGATCGTGTTGTTGTTCTGTTGTTTCACTTTCTAGATGTTTAAGTTATTGGATAGTTTCTGTTTGGCACATCTCTGTAGGTGTTTGTTTTTTCTAGTTTATCGTAGAATTGTGCTGTTCTGTGATGTGGTGGTTTTGTTGATGTTGTTGTCAGCTGCAATTCAGTTGATGACTTGTGTTTGTTCAATCTCTGTAGTTTATTGTTGTTTATGAACTGTGCTGAATTTGGAAAGTGAAATCTTTTCCTCAATGTTAAAGAGGAAAACTAGGATAATGAAACAGAAATTTATTTTAAGTTATGTCTTGTTACTACTTTCTTTGTTGCTTGCTAGCTTGGTAGTGACACTATGCCACCCTCCAAATTTTGAAATTATGTAAAAAAGGAGTGAAGTATTGGTTAGAGTATATTTTGGATTTGCAATTTATGAAAATTTCAATGAAGTTGAAAATTATCTATCAGTTTTTCTGAGACACTAGGAAATTGATTAACGATTGCCTTTCACACATACATGATACACAACCACTTGGTTGTTTAGGGTAAAAAATCAGATAAACATTATGCAAATCCTGTCATAGGCAAGACAACATCAAATAGTCATTTGTTTTGTTTATGAGTTAGAAAAGAAAGGGATAACACACTTGTATGACGGGATTGATGCCGAACAAAGAAATCTGAAATCTACTAGAGGTGAAATGAAGATCGAAAATTCAACCTTGATGTAAAATGTGAGGTAGAAAAAATCGATCTATGTCGAAGGTAGGGATGGAAGAGACAAAATCTGTCTCCAATCGATCTCGTTGTCAATATCTAATCACATATTTAAGATTATATGAGCCGTTTGATTAAGATCTCAATGTAAAATGAGAGGTAGAAAAAATGTTCTATGTCATACCTAATCATGTATTTAAGATTATATAAATATCAATGTAAAATGAGAGGTAGAAAAAAATGATCTATGTCGGAGGTACGTATGAGAGAGACAAAATCTATTTTATGCGAGAGACAAAATCTACCTTCAACTCACCTTATTGTCATACCTAATCATGCATTTAAGATTATTGAAATCGTTTGATTAAAATCTCAATGTAAAATGTGAGGTAGACAAAACCGATTTGTGGCGGAGATAAGGATGAGAGACACAAAATCCAACTCCAAAATAAAAAAAAAATACATCCTAATATATGATAGTGATTAATTAATACTATAGAGTTAATTTACACGGTGAATGCATGACCCATTTTATCTTAAACCTATATTTTTCTAACTATTTTGTTATTCTTATTCATAAGAAGTTATAGGAAGCCCCACATTGAAAAAAGGTGTACTTTAAGGAATCTGAGTTGATCCAATGGTGAATATCACAAAATTGAAGTTTCTTAACGGCTGTGATAAAAAAAGTATTATTTTAGATATAATTTTCAGTTTCTATTTTATTAATGAAATAGAAGCATTTATTTAGGTGAGAAATGCGTTATCCTTTCTAGCGGGAAGAACCAACCACATTACCAGCAATGGTGTTGGTTTGTGCTTCTTCTACCTTTTCACTCACAAACTCTGTTCCTTTCACTTGTCAGATTTCAACAACACCTTTTGGTTCCTCTTTCCTATTCAACAACAGAGTTACTAATGTTTCTGTTTCTGTTTGTCATGCTAAGAAGAAAATTGGATTTTTTGATCGAATTCTTGATTACATTGAAGGTGTCTTGTTGATGCTTTTATTTTTGTTATAATAAAGTTTCCTTTTTTATGTTTTCCCAGTTCTATGTCTTTTTTTTTATTCTGTGTTGTTGTTTTTAGGAGGTCCTAAATTGAGGAAATGGTATGGTGCACCTGGTCTCCTAGAAAAAGATGGTACTTCTACTTCAGATGATGCTACTGAAGATTATCCAGGTAGATTAAGGCTCTATTTTTAGATAAACAATTTAATTAAGCTTAATTGGATTCTAGCATAGAAGCTTATCATATAAGTGCTATGTAAATCTAACACAAAGGGGTTGAACCGGTGAGGAAACAAGCTGACAATAGCTTATCTTCATAAGCTTTCCGAAACAGTCTCACTTGTGCTTATGATAGTAAATAAATTCAAATAAGCCGATCCACATAGACCGTAACATCATTTGTGTTGATATGTAAATGAATGCTTTATGTTTATGTTTGTATTTAGCTGTATGTGTTTTGAGTAATAGTGATTTTGTTTGACTCAATTGTCTAAAAGCAGAAGATGAAGTTAGGGATGCAGTCCTGGTAACAGATGGAGATAGTGAGATGGGTCAGGTTTGCTTGCCTTTTTTCTATACCTATATATCATTACATTGCCTCACTTGATTAGTTGTTGCCAAGGTTTTAATAGCAGTTGCGACGTGATTATTGATACTGCATAGAATCACAGCCAAATACAGCTGACGCGGTCTTAATCACGTTCACATTGCAACCTTGATGCCATGGCCGTGATTGAAATTCATACATGATGTTGTTTCCGTAACATATCATAGGTTGATTTGCATGGATGACTGAATTCTAATTTGTGCTGTGTTTTTTGGCTTATGCAGATGGTGATATTGTCATTGATTGTGAACAAATCTCGAGTAAAGGCATTGGTAAAGGATAAACGAGTTGCACTTGAAGCCTTTGGAAGTTATGTTGAGGTAGCTGAATTTAATTTGCAGAACCACTAACAGATATCAACTTTATATTGTTTGTTTATACTTTGTTTATTTGTTCTTATATTCTTATCATTGATTACATAATGCTTGTTGCAAAGTCAATGGTAGGAGATACAGGCGACGGCCAATTCCTCAAGAAAGCTCTGCGAGGAGTTAGCACAATTATATGCCCAAATGTATGCATAACTTGCCATGCTTCCTCTTTAGACATGTTTGAATTGGCTTACGGCTTACATAAATCATTCAACTGAAATAAGTACACCCTCTCTGGTCACTATCATAAGCAAAGATTCTTTTTTCAAATTTATTGAATAATTAATGTATCAGGGTCTATATATAGACCAGCAGATACATCAATTATTCAATGAACTTGAAAAGAGAATATTTGCTTATAATTGCGACCAGAGCAATATTTAGTTTCTATTTCATAAAGAAGACCTAAGTTTGTATCAGTTATATCCAAAGTTAAATGGTTGAATGATTTCATTCTTTTTCAGGAGGGTTTTATTTCTAGTGTTGGGAGCCTTCAAGGGGTAAAGCATGTGATCCTCTTATCACAGGTACTTTTTTCTTAAGATACACTATTCCCTAGCACTACAAAGACAAGCTTTGTTTTGTTTTAACAAAGTTGCAGTTGTCAGTTTATAGTGGTAAAATTGGAATTCAATCTATGATGAAAAGCAACGCGAAGAAATTGGCCGAGCAAGATGAATCTGTATTGAGTAGCTCAGGAATTCCTTACACCATAATCAGAACTGGCGAATTACAAGATACACCTGGTGGAAAGCAAGGTTTTACCTTTGACAAGGTACACTATATCAGCTTTAACTTCCTACGAAACACGACTCTATCACGTAGACACATGATTAGAATGCACTAGACGTTTATCATTAGATAAGATATACGCGTATGCTACTTATATGTTTGTGTTTACGAGAACAGGGATGTGCAGGTAGCGGAAGTATTAGCAAAGAAGATGCTGCCTTTGTATGCGTAAAAGCTCTGGAGTTTGTACCACAAACTGGATTCATATTTGAAGTGGCCAATGGGGAAAATAAAGTTTCAGATTGGAAAGAGTGTTTGGCTGCATTGATGGAGAAATCAAGTCAACAACCTCTTCAATGAACAATCAATCATAAGACATGCAGTCAAAATATGGCTATTTTGATAAATCAGTATTTTGAATCTGTTCTATTGAGATTGAAATGAGTAGTCCAATCCTCAATATGTTGGTTTGTTTCCTGCAACAAATCCAAGTTCATGTATCATGTATTTATTTCCGTTAAAAAGAGCGCGGTTTTCACTTTTTCTTACCTTCATGTGAACAAAATTATTGTTTTTGGGCTAGAACTAGAACCACACATTTCAATGAAATTCTTGTAACTAAAGGCATGAACACAATTGTTTTTGCATCTTAATATTGTACTGAGACAGTACCATAACTTTCTAGCAAAGCTGTAATTGAGAAACAAATTTATAATTGGTCATTAGTAGGTATTTTGTGATGAAATAAAAGCCATATGAGGAAGAATTTAGAAGGATGGGTGGAATGAGACCAAATGCATCCCCAAGGAATAACAACAATATCATCATTACACATGAAAACATAAACATCTTTGAAAGTCAAGAACTCAGAATCTGAGTACTTCCAATGCAAAGAAAAAGGCGTGGGATCCAAAGGCAGAAAGTAAATCGCCATTTCCTAAGCTACAATAAGAAATTTAAATGCAGTGATAGCAAAATTTTGTAGAAGTGCAGAGGTTTAAGGCTTGAATCGGCACAGATCGAGTTAGCGAATGTCAGTTTATGGTGTACGCAGAGGAGTGGTTCTAATCAGAGGCAGACATGCGTGGATTTGTGGAGCGCAAATCAGAAAGGTTGCTCGAAGACACTGCGTTTCACGTTCAGAAGCGAGTGGTGGTGTGACTCGGTGTCATCGACAATGGTGGATTCACTTCTTCTTCTTTCCTATTTTTCTGTAAAACAAATAACTATTGATAAAATATCGTTAGTTTTGAATTTTGTCAACTTTGTGGTTATTGGAAACTTTGGTGATGATGATTTTGTGAATCATTGCCCTTGTATTGAACCTTTGATGATATAGCTACAAAAATTGAAGTGTTGTATAATAATTTTGGTAAATTTGTGTTTGTGAAAAGTTTGTTACATGAAAAATGTGTGCGTGTAAGTTTACAGGTTTTGATGCAAAACAAATGATGATGATGATGTTTTCGTGTCTTTGTGAAGAAAAAAACGTGCAAAAAAATAATGTACAATAAGAAAATGATAAACATATGTAAAGTTAGAAGGAGCAATTAGACAATTGTTACTATAAAATTGTGGTAGGTGATTCTTGATCGATACGTGTGACCGTTTTGAAAAGAATAAAAGGATAAAGAAATTTTCTTTAAAAGAGCTTGTTGTAAATTGTGTGTCAATGCACCCGTGGATAATAATTTTCATAATTTTTATAAAAAATTATATCATATGATTTGAATGAAACAAATAAAGTTGATTAAGAATGAGGTCTCATATGAAATCATTGGTCAAGATGTAGAAAAAACCAATTAAAAAGACTTGAAAACAAATTTTTAAAAAGAAAGTGTATGGAGTATGGAGTTGGTTGATTAACAGAATTTCTGTTCAGAAATCCTGAAATACACCAAAAATAAGAGAGAGGTTAAGATTGTTGAATTACAAAATTGTGGATGGAGAGAGAGGTTGAGATTGTTGAATTACAAAATTGTGGATGGTTGCGGATGTCTGCTAAAGACAACAACAAGGTTTGTAAAATCGTGGATGCCCTTCAAGTGTAAACTTGAGGGATATTTATAAGTGAAAAAATTAGATTACATTACCAAATTAGGAAATTATTTAAACAGTAAAAAGCCTAAAGTTATGTTGGTCAGCAAACTAGCCAATCAGAAGTCTGAATGATGCAGGACGTCCAATAGAGAACAAGTGAAAAAGATGGTATTTTTTAGAAATTTTTTGATGAAAAATGCATTAAATAAATTAATAATATTATTAAAAATTTCCTAAAATAGAAAAACGAAAATAGTATTTAAATAATAAAAAACTATGATTTTTGTGATTTTAAAAATAATTAAAAAAAATGGAAATAGTTAGTAACCAAAAAATAGAAAAATGTTAAAAATGTAATATAAGAGATTCAAACCCATGATCTCATACTTGCAAGCTTTACTTCTTACCAATTGCACCATGTTACTCATTTGAAATAAAATCCCAATTGAAAGTATATGAAAGGTGAACAAATATTTTCTATATTGAAAATATAAATAATTTAGAAGTAAACTATTATATTTTTAAATAGATTTGAAAATGAATATTTATTAAAATCAAAGAATGTTATTGTAAACCAACCAAAAGAATTTTAAAACCCAATTTTGAAAATAATTTCGCCTGTAGTACTAAGGCGGACAAATTTGGGGTATGACAAAATGCACCCTATTGCGGAAGCAATTGATGAGGGAGTGGTGGTGATGGGTTTTCCTAAGATAGTTAAGGATATAGAAACATCGTCAACATAAGAATACAACCAAAACTCATGGATCAGATAAGGGTAGATAAGTACATGCAACATAGCGATGTAGCGAGACCATTCCTGAAGAGTAAAGCTTTCAGTGAGACCAAAAACAACTTTATTGAGACGGGGATGAAGTTCAAAGATGACTTCAAGAAGTTCTTCGAAATTTTGATAGGTTCTTACATCCATTTGGAAGAGAAGGATGACACCAAATGAATTGAATGGAAATTTAAGTAGATGAGAAGGAAGCGTAACTGACTGGCTAAAAGATATAAACATATGGCAGAGGATATTGGAACATATATTCTTTTACATAAGGTTTTAACAAGTGGAAGAAGGATGAGACTGAATGGTTTGATAGATAGGTAGATATTAAACTGACAACTCGATAAATGAAAACTTGTGAGGAAGGGTATATTACCATTTTCCAAGACAAGCAACAAAATACGTGTTAATGCCTAGAAGGAATAGGTATAGACGCGTATAAAGGAGAATTTTTAGGAGGGCAAGAATACTACTTAGAGTTAGGTTATACAACTTAGTAATTTAACTTTTGTTAATAATTTTTAGACGACTTCTTTTAGTTTTTAATTCATATATATATATATATATATATATATATATATATATATATATATATATATATATATATATATATATATATATATATATATATATATATATATATATATATATATATATATATATATATATATATATATATATATATATATATATATATATTTGAGGAACAACTAAACAGTTATTTGAGGCTGAGGATGGATTGAGAAGAAGAGTTTGTACAAAGAAAATAATATTAACATGTTGAGAAAAATTAAAGATACTGAACAAAATCTTGTCCTACGATAATTTAAACAAGTAATATTTCCCGAGCAGGATAACTTCTAACTGGTAGAAGTATCTATCAGTACTTTGTTTTAGAAAACGTGTAAATACTAACCTGAGATTTTGTCAACGAGCTTGCTTCTGCACAACCCTCAGCAAGATTTTTTTCTTGTATATACAGACTCGTTTCAGTATTTTCCTGATCAATCGATGTAGAATCTGAACACTTCTTTAGAGGATTTTGAACAATAGTAGCTTCTGATTGAAGATCTTGTGAGACTTTTACTTCTTGAAATTTGGTAGTAGTTTCATCTCTTTCAGAATTTGAAGAAGTTTCCAAATCTGTTTCTGATCTCTTATTCTCCTTTGTAGATTTTTCTTTCGGAATCAAAGTTCTTCTTTCTGGTGGATGACATCTTCTTCTCTTGACTATGAAAATCATATTTGAGAAGCTTTGTTCTTCTCAAATTGTTGATGGATCTTCCTGAAATGATGTTGAATTGATCCATAGCAGTTTACAGCAGTTTTTCATTTGGATGACAACTTCAGTTGAAGAGTTGTAGTGCTGAAAGTTGATTTTTTTTCCGGATGGAAAACTTATGTTGAATGAGAAGATGAAATCCCTTTCCATCAGGTACTTGGGCCTTTAGAATCCCGAGAACTTGTTTCAGGGATTCCGTCTTAAATTTTCTGATTCTAGCCCAGAGTTTTGAATTAGAAAAGCTTTCTATCATTTGAGTAGATGACAGCTGCAAAAATTTCTCTAACTGGATCTCTCTACATGGTTAAGTGTTTGATCTTAAATCAATAACATAGCCGGAATCTGATACAAATTGAAGGTAGAGAAAACACAAGAAAGGGGGGTGGGGGGGTTGAATTGTGTTCATAGAAAACATTTCCCATTAAAATTGTAAGCACTCAAATGATAATAGCAATAAAGACAATGAAGATAAAAGGACACAAGTATTTTATCCAAGTTCTCCGTTAACTAGGCTACTTTTGTCCAACCTCGTAAGGATGATTTTGCCTTATCCAAGGACTTAATCCACTATAACCAAACTGATTACAATCACATAGGCAACCGCCGGTGACTAACACACAATGACACGTTCAGAGATCCTAACTAGATATAACGGTCATTGACTCAATAGAATCTAATCCCTCAAGATCTCCTACCAGGATTTCATTGCAATTATATCCATCAGGGATCTCACAAGAGTCTGGCCTTCACTTGGTCCTCTTTGAGATATGACTACCATTGACCCAACAAAATCGAATTTCTCAAAATCTCCTATCAGGATTTCTCATAATGACCAGCATCCATTGTCTTATTGAGATCAGACCTTCACTCAGTCTCTCAAGGAACTAATCAACAACAGTTGATGGTGATCTTGTGTTTATAAAACAATTTACATGAAGAGATATGAACATAAACATTATTCGAGCAACAACTCCAGCGTTCATTACAATGTTCTATAGAGACGTATATGATCAGAAGTTGAGTATCATCTTGTATTTTTCTTTTTCATCTTCTTTTTGAGCAATCTACGAGCAACAACTCCTTGCTTCTTCTGAGATCTAACGAGATGTATATGATTGGAAGTTGAATAACATCTTGTAGTCTTCTTCTTCTTTGAGCAAGCTACGAGCAACAACTCCTTTCTTCTTCTATTTCATCCAAGATACATATGATGATAGTTGATGGCATCTTGTTGAAATATTCTTTCTTTTT